TTTCTCCGGATAACCGTGAGTTGCCACTTTCCATCAATGAATAAAATAAATAATCATAAATAATCAGCGTTTTATAAAGAAATATATTTTTGATTTAAAATTAGACTGAAACGCTTCTAGTCGACATCACGAAAATGTACATATCATGTAGCTTGAAATGGGAAATATGACGCACGCTTGACAACGTCCCCAGAAACAATCAGTCAGTATATTTCTGGGTGCATTTGGGGGGGGGGGGGTATAGCACAAATTAATGTAGAAAATAGAAATTCCTTGATACGCAAAAAAAAGGAAGAGGATCAACTGATGTTCCCTCCCCCTTCCCCCGTTCATACAGACGTGAGATACATAAATGAGTTGTATATAGAACTGGACATTCAACTTTGCCCAAAATGCTTCATGTCGGTAATAAAAGAAAATATTTTACAATAATGATTTCAAATTTTAATCGGTCATGCAATACAGCCTGCTAGATTATCCCACAGTCTGTCTATTATAGTCACAGTAAAATGTGTAATTTCTTTTTCTTTCTTTTTCTTTTGGAAAAATAATTACAGAAATGAAATATTATTTCATATGTAGTTCATTATGACGAGGAAGAGTGATATTTTTATAAGAAAGAATTAAATCCAAACCATGATTATACTTTAAATCTGATGTATATGTTTTCAATATTGAATAACCTGTTTTAAGCTTTAACATTACATTATTTTGTTTCTGCAGTAAATACAGATCGAATACAACATTAGGCTATCCACAAATAAAGGGCAAAATATTATTATAAACTGCATGAAAACAAGTTAATTGTTAAAACTAAAGGGAAGCATATACATACTTTTTATCGGTCTTAGTATTAAACTCTACAATTGGAATAAGAAATTTCTTTAAATATTGTAATTAAAATAGACTATATATATAATTATATATATTTATATAATTATATATATCACAATTTTCATCACAATTTTGATGTGTACGCATGAATATCATAATAGTATTATAATTTGTTCTTCAGCATGATTTATTAAAATAGAGAATTCATATCTATTGATTTAAAGCAAACACATGACCATTACATTGTCATTGCTATCTGCCGCGGGCTCTACCTGCGGGTACCTGTCAGGTATACGAATACTTCACACCTCCATTGTTTTATTGCCTATACACACCAGCAGATTTCACACCTTTAATCGTCCTAATTTGCACAAAGCAAATGCTGGGGAAAAACAAACACAAGCCCAATAAATGCGACATTTTTTTTTTAAATCATTGCCCTAAACGGTATTGTTAAAAGCACACTAAACATGGAGTAGCAATTCCTGCCCTAAGAGATATATTGTACAAAAAAAAAAAATAAACACGACAGCTAGGGTAAATCCTTAATCTTTCTTCATATGATGTAAACAAACTCTCTTTAATTTTATGTGTTTAAGTCAAGATTAAAACATTTTGCACCACCCGGACCTTTAAACTTAGGCGGACCTTTTCTTATACGGGCCGGACCTTTTCTTATAAAAGGCAGACCTTATATGTTATCGTATTAGGTCCCCCCGGACCTTTAAACGAGGCGGACCAAATATTATGCGACAGGTGTCAACAGGGGATGCTTACCTAGACATCTGATCTCATCTCTGGAATTTCCAGGGATCTGCGTTGCATGTCCTTTTCACAGGTTTGAATTGTTTGTTGATTTTTTAAGATAGATAAATGTTCGTTATCTTCACCTTTTTCATCTAGCACGCAGATATTATGATTATAATTAGTATTCATCTTCTCATCAGAATTGTGAAATGAAATATGAAGATAACGAACAGTATTCAATCTCGAAAGTCCAATGAAACGATACAAATTTGGAGTAGAGCAAACACGGACATCAAAATTTAGAGGTAGGATCAGGTGCCATGGACGAGTGAGCATCCCCTGCCGACCGGTCACACCCGCAGTGTGCTCCTTGTCATAATCAAAAAGAAAAAAAAAACACCCGGAAAAATCCGTAGACAGTTCAATGTATAAATAATTGTGAAAAACATCATTCAGCATTTGACTCAATGATAGGATCTATGCGTTTTAGAAATTGTGCATACAAAGAGCATGCTCTTGCGTATCGAATCAAGTGGGAGACATAAACCCCATATGCAGGTGATAAGGGTATATTCCTACATAAGTAAGGAAAGCTGACGATTGAAAAGTTGAAGTCATCAAGTTTATCATAAAGCTTTGTTGTTAGGTTACCATTAAAGTCTTTTTCTAGTAAAATATCTAAATATGAAACAGATGAGTCAGAATCTGTGGTATCTTTTATTTCAAGCTCACTTGGATATATCGAGTCGACATATGAATGAAAGTAACTATTATTTATTGAAAATACGTCGTCGATACATCGAAATGTCGAGTTAAAGGCCACAGCAAGAGTTTTCTTCTTCTCATGTAGAAGTTTTTGAATAAATTTTGCTTCATATGAATACAAAAATAGGTCTGCTAATAAGGGGGTCGCAGACATTCAAACAACCTGGTTCAGGCTCTGTACATGTAGAGGTGCTTTGTTGGTCATATCAATATTGTAACATCTCTACGAATGGACATGTTGTAGGCAAGCCCCTTTTTTATTAATTATAATTACTACTTAGCCCTCTGTCAAAATTGTTTAATCGCCGGACACATTGTTCAGGTCCTAGGTTGTGATTAAGTTGGTGATTTAATAAAAATGGATTATTCTTATAAAAAAAGTCTTTTTTACTCAAATTTTCAAACAACCCCATAAAATTAGGCCCTACTGATTGATTTTCCAGCTTTGCCTTTGATGCAGATCCTTTCTGTGCCTTTATAGTTTGTTTCCGCATGACATTACATCAAGACATTTTCGTTAAAAAATGTCAACATTTAATAAAAATAACAATTTCCTCCTTAAAATATTTCTGGTTTCTATAGATACTGTATCGCTTCTTCCACTGTTATGAACAATTTCTAACACGAGGAAAGTTATTGACAAACAAGTTGATGAAACAAGAATATCAGCATGCAGTCTCGTTTAAAGTCTTCATTTTGTAAGTTCTATGGTCGATACAATGACCTTGTCAGCAAATACAATCTATCATTAAGTCAAATGCTGACTGACTTTTTTCATACTAATTGTTAGGCCATTATTTACACTCTGAATTGTCGACGGATTTTTCCGTTATTTCCCGATCATGACAAGGAGCACACGGCGGGTGTGACCGGTCGGCTGGGGATGCTCACTTCTCCTTGGCACCTGATCCCCCTCTGATGTCTTAGAGGTCCGTGTTTGCTGTACTCCTATTTTGTAATGTTGAGAGGACTTTTGAGCTCGAATACTGTTCGTTATCTCCACATGTTTCATTGATAAGGTAGACAGAGTACTCCGTAGTAAAATTTAGTATAAAGCTATGACCTAACATACGGTATGAAGCAGTCAGACAAAATAGGATCCAGCGATAAATTGTATTTACAAACAAAGTCATTAAAACGAACGTAGAATTTGGGAAAAGCTGAATTTTAACGGGGTTGTTGAAATCTTTGTGACATCAACTTATTTGTCAGTAACTTGCCTCGGTTTGGAAATTGATCGTATTCAGAGTATGCTCTTGCGTATCGAAGAAGTTAAGAGACATAAACACCATATGCAGGTGATATTTGAAATTGTTTGTTTGTCTGAGTCCCTTAGAGAATTTTTCAAACCCTAAATGACACCTGCATGATCCCACCTCTGATGTTTTTAGAGGTGTTTGATAGCTCTCAATTTGTATTGATTGAATTGACTTTTGAGCATGATTACTCTTTGTTATCTTTATATTTCATATTGTGAAGCCACCACTTGCCGATGGAGGTCTGCAAATTTAGACCCGACTCAGCACTTACGGCCTTTGAGCAGAGAGGAATCTTTTTCGAGCCAGCACCTATTGCGACACGGGACCTTGGTTCATACTGTCTCATCCGAAGGACCGGTCTTCGCGTCCCGCAGTGGAATTCGAACCCTCGACATAAGAATCAACTTCTTACTCTGCGACTCCAGAGCAAACGGTCTAACAACTGCGCAACGCGGGCGACCAGGTGATGTTAGAATATTTCTACATGTACTACAGGTAATTTGTTTATAGCCAATAACGCACCCAGATATGAAAGAGATGTGGCAGACTGTATTGTCTTTTATTGCGAGTTTACTGGGATATAAAGAGTCAACATATGAATAAAAGTGACTATTTTTAATTGATAAAACGTTGTCGATATGTACTATGTATGTTGAGTTGAATGCCACAGCAAGATTTTCCTTCTTCTCGTGAAGATGATTTTGAACAATGTGGTGGAACAGATCTACTATTTATTTCTTATGTATTTATTCGTTCTGGGATAATTCTATTTTCGTTTTATCTAAAGTGATCTTAAATATTTTTGATAAATAATTCTTTTGCGCAAAAAATTGGACAGTATAACATTTTCATCAGGAAATCTCTATCCAGCGTATGTCAGCTGAATCTTGTGGTAAGTAACTATCTTGTTTCTTTATTTGTTACGTTACCATAAAGTTTTGAGTATTAAATTTTATTTAATTGCAGCGTTTATATTTTTTTTGGCAGTTAAAGTTGTCTTAGTAAATTCTTGTAGTTCAAAGTTTATTTTGCCACAGAAAAGTCTACTAAAATGTTCTGCAATTTTGCCCATCGAAATTCCAATATGTTTTTGGAAGACCTGGTTTCCAAGAATACATAGATGTTAAGTGTGGGTATTCGGCGATGTTGGCTTCTACAGTATAAATTAGACCAGAAAAATTGTCTAACATCTTACCGAGATCTGTAATCGAAGCACTGGACGGAGGATGTCTAACATCTTACCGAGATCTGTAATCAAAGCGCTGGAAGGAGGATGTCTAACATCTTACCGAGATCTGTAATTAAAGCACTGGACGGAGGATGTCTAACAACTGACCGAGATCTGTAATTAAAGCGCTGGAAGGAGGATGTCTAACATCTTACCAAGGTCTGTAATCAAAGCGCTGGACTGAGGATGTCTAACAACTGACCGAGATCTGCAATCAAAGCACTGGACGGAGGATGTCTAACAACTGACCGAGATCTGTAATTAAAGCGCTGGAAGGAGGATGTCTAACATCTTACCGAGATCTGTAATCAAAGCACTGGACAGAGGATGTCCATCTTATAGAGATCTGTAATCAAAGCGCTGAACGGAGGATGTCTAACATCTTACCGAGTTCTATAATCAAAGCACTGGACGGAGGATGTCTAACATCTTACCGAGATCTCTAATCAAAGCGCTGGACAGAAGATGTCCATCTTATAGAGATCTGTAATCAAAGCACTGAACAGAGGATGTCTATCATCTTACCGAGATCTGTAATCAAAGCGCTTGACAGAGGATGTCTAACATCTTACCGAGATCTGTTATCAAAGCGCTGGACGGAGGATGTCTAACAACTGACCGAGATCTGTAATGAAAGCGCTTGACAGAGGATGTCTAACATCTTACCGAGATCTGTAATCAAAGCGCTGGACAGAGGATGTCCAATTTATAGAGATCTGTAATCAAAGCGCTGAACGGAGGATGTCTATCATCTTACCAGATCTGTAATCAAAGCGCTGAACGGAGGATGTCTAACATCTTACCGAGATCTGTAATCAAAACAACTGACCGAGATCTGTAATCAAAGCGCTGGACAGAGCATGTCCATCTTATAGAGATCTGTAATCAAAGCGCTGAACTGAGGATGTCTATCATCTTAACGAGATCTTCAATCAAAGCGCTGAACGGAGGATGTCAAACATCTTACCGAGATCTGCAATCAAAACAACTGACCGAGATCTGTAATCAAAGCACTGGTTGGAGCAAATTAAAAAAATCCTTAAACACTCATGATTCTTTTTATTTTAAGCAGAGTATATCGATTACAAATATTTTGGATCATTTTGATAAATCATGGGACACTATGAAAATGAATATTAAACATCCATATATCAAATATGTAATGCGTTTACAGCAACATGTGTATACAATTTGTAACTTATCATAAGGAATGTTGATTACTGAAAGTATTTTTTGTGGAATTAGGAAGAAATGAATTTGTATTTATGAAACTCACAGAAAATTAAAATGATAGATTTACAATTTAATTGCTTTAGTCATGGGAAAATGTATTCATCGATCGTCTCGTTATCTCTATATCTTATATCATCTATTAAACTGACACTAAAATAGCATCGCTTTATATTTAACTTCTTGAGGATATAATTTGCAATTTTGTACAATTTTTGTAAACACTATCAAAAACAATTATATAAGAAAATAGCAATAATGAATAAAAGTGATAGTTGCAGAAGCTCGTTAACTTTAGTATAACAGCTGCATTTGTGGAAGCAAGGGTTTGGAATTGTAGGAACACTGGGTCACTTTTCTGTGGCCCATATTCTGTAACAAAGGACAGGTTGTAAATTGTTTCGGGATCCAGTCCTGTCAAGTCAAACCAGTCGGAGTATGCATCTACATATCGGACGTGAACTTGGTCATTGGGTGAACGGAACTCTACTACAACCGTTGACATCTCGTAACAAGCTGAGGGTACCGTCCAGTTCAGACGAACACTTTTGTCAAAGGTTGCAGTAATGGTTAAATTATTTGGGCCAGGATCTAAAAAGATAAATGACTGAGATATTGAACCTTTAATGAAATCATGGGTTAATTCAACTGTGCATCATTCTGAGATCTGAACACTGTGGTTATTTAAATTATTGTATATTAATCTCCACACTATGAAGATACATACATTCATCCATTCCGTCAAGCGAGGATAAATCTGTAATCTGTAAATAGTAAACAAAACAAAACAGCGCTTTAGCTATGCTTATGACAGAAAAAGTAAAATAAAAATATGAGTTAGGAGAATTGAATATTTCTAGCATCCAAGGGCGACAAATCTTCTTACTATAGTACTGTAAAAAGCAGGTTTCATTGCCATGTTATATACAGTCAGATTTAATAAGACAAACTCCTCTGCCAATTTTTCCTCTGGCACAACAAACCAGCAGTTGTTTATGTCCAGGTTGTGGCGGTAATAAAAGAAGCTTCCTACAGATGTTTTGTATCCTGTTTTCAATCCAGGATCAGCCTACAATGAAAAGAAAACACCATGTATGATTCCAGTCTTTTTTTCAATATTTCTTTCTATATCAAAGACTCAAACAGCTTTTGTTTGATTTGATACTTCTGTTTTCTGGAATAATGAAACGGGACAGTACTTTATTTTTTCTTTATCAAATATAAACTATAGAACAAAGCTGCAAATAATGCAAGGCAAAAAATTGAATACCAAAATATTCTTTACTTTTGTTTTGTTTCCTGGAATATCAATTTCATGGAATATTTCATTGCTTCTAGATCTTAGTTCCACGTGTATTCTATGTATTCCACTTTCTCTGTCAAAGACATCTATCTGTATTCTGAGAAAATCATTTGACTATATGTTACTAATTCCTCTTGATATCATTTATGAGAGAGAGAGAGAGAGAGAGAGAGAGAGAGAGAGAGAGAGAGAGAATTAATTTTAATTTTATATCAAAACAAACAATTGAAGATTCTTTAATTTTCGTACAGACTGGAGAAGACGTACGAGGGGTTATCAAAAAGTTCGTGGACTAGCGTCATAAAATTAAAACCGCTTTAGGTACATCAATGAATTTTTACACATTTAGTTAGCATCATCTTTTCTATCTATAGAATAAACCATAAATCATAATTTTTATTTTTTAATAAATTGTTAGTGTTTTTGTAAGCAAAGGTATGTCCAGGCGGCGCAACCTCTAATATGACGTTTATTTCTATCTGAGTGTAACTGAGAAAAACTCTTTAGATATGAGTATTTGTCATCATAAAAATCTCGTTAATTCAGGCATGTGGTACGACACATTTGTTCAGTAAAATTTGCAATTTTTACCCCATTCTGTAATTTCTATGAAATTTTATCGTAAATTTTATATGGAGTGTCCAAACAATTATGGGATTGAAAATAACGTCAAAAAGGGTGAGGGGTTTCTTTTTCAAACACTCTATAGAGTTTCGCTCCTGGAAAAACTGGTATTGACCTAAGGAATGTTTAAACTGGCTACAGAAAAATAAAATGCATCCAGAGTACTTGTTTTTTAATGCCCAAAAAGATTCAGAGCGATGAAATATGCACAGTTAGTGTCGATTTGTAGTCAGGGTGTCTAAAGTCAGTCACGTCGAAAAGTGACGTTGCAATTGATCATGTGTGGTAGAAATTGAACTACAACAAGCTAAGTATTCTGGCATAATCAAGTGAGGATCTTTCCCCATATAAAGATCCATTTACAATATTATATGCATTGAAAACAGCTGCTCATGACATTGTAAATTCATATAAATAAGACGGGTTTAAGTCCTTACTTAACTCCATGTAATCTCATCAAGATAAGTGTATGAGGTAGAGAGAGCGGACATTAAGAAACAATGACGTTAAGCGGACGTCATGACACTAAACGGCGACAGCGCCGGGTGATCACATAAAGTCTTCTTAATTTTAGAATAATTTGGCAAATTATCAACGTATCAAGCTAAAATTTTCAACATTTCTTAAACTTCTGTTGTTTTATGTTCCGCATAAATTTTGTAAGCAAAGACTACATATTATTAATTTTATCGCGTCAGTCCACGAACTTCTTGATAACCCCTCGTAAGTAGGATTTTTAACGTTCCTCGTAAATATGACGTCTGATGGGTTTAAACGTTTTGGTGGGCTGGAATCAAAGGAAATCTTCGTCAAGTCAACTTTCGTATTCCCCATGATGTCAGTCGCCTTCACCCAGAAGTTGAAGGTGTCGCCATCTTTTCTTTCAATATTAAAAATCTGAGTTTCAGAAAATGTATCATTCACCTTATACCAGGTTTGCGGGGTTCTCTCCCCTTGACCTCCATGTCTGTAGAAATATTCAAATTTCACTATACCGTAAACATTCCGGATTTCTTTCAGTGTTCTTTTCCCCGAGTTATCATCAAGTTGGTTTGGAACGTGCTTTTCAATGTTTGTAACAGAATCGACATTTTTATACTGTGCTACTGGATTTAAAAGTTTATTGTTCTCGTGGAATTGGTTCTGAAAATGTCCTTTCCATGACACGATAATGTCCTTATTGAGGTTATTTTGCCATTTATAGTTTGTTTCAGGTTCTGCGCTTCTTGCTATAAATGGTAATTTAGATAGAGTGATATTTGAACTTGGGTCATATAACACCAAGGTGCGTGCGCATTGTGTATTGCTGGCTCGGTCTATTACATTTAGTATAAAGGAATACAACCCTGCTCTCTTTGGAGTGTAGGTATATCTTGTTTCTAGTGCCGAAAGGGATATTTCCTCGTCTGGGCGCCATGGATTTGTTTCCGCCAAGATTGTTATGTTCAGCTTCAGCAGAAAAACCTGTATTTTATATTCTTCGATTCCAGAAAGCCCATCTTCCCAGTTGTTCCATGACAATTCTATTGGAGACTATATAAAATTGAAGGTAAAACAAAAGATTTATAATTTAAGGACATACGCAAAGCACCTTACCAACTGATAATTTTTAAAGATATTCTTAATTTAAAATTATAGTGCCATCAGATGCTCATAAACAAAAAATCAGCATGCATTATCAGCTGGGGATTTTGTATGGATATTAATTGATGCAAATTATTCTATAATTCAAAGAAAAATACACAAAAATGACTAAACATATATATTCTAGATGTTTTTTCATCAAGATTAATTTAGAGGAAGTGTACAGCACCATATATAGACATTAAAAGAGTAGCACACAGGTCCTTCAAGTATTGGAACTCTTCAACTCCAGGGAAAAATACAATTAAGTTCAAACTAGGTTGCGTATGTCCTTTAGTTAATATTACATCCAGTATCTTTATGATTATTTTTTGGTTGACTTTCTTAAAAGTTGATGTTTCCAGTTGAATTTATAAAACATTGTCCATATACACCCAAACTGTAGAAGTACGTGAAGATATTACGCCTTTCGATTCTCCACTGACCTTTATATTCAAAAGAAAAATGTTTTAAAGAAGTCTTATCTTAAAAGGGTTCAATTGAAATACTTAGTAAATACGACAACACACTTAAAGGTTTTTATCCCATGTTTACCCCTTTATCCCGTGGATATGACTCATTGGATAAATTTTTCATAATCCAAAGTTGTGACGTCACAATGGTTTTTGCGTTAGCGCGATGAAGTAAAATAAAGTGGAGTCCTGTATAAAACAGTGTAAAACATTGGTTGTGAAGTATTAAACATGGGATAAAAAGAATCTCCCATGATTTGTAGTTGGATATGACTTTTATCCAACTCGTTGTGTGTTTTTATCCCCTCGCCAAGGCTCGGGGATAAAAAACACACAACTCGTTGGATAAAAATCATATCCAACTACAAATCATGGGAGATCCTATATATATACCTTGGTGATATCCTTTACAACATCCAGTGCTTTTGCCTCACATGGTCCGCCTAAGAGACATTGATGTGGCTTCACCAAATCAACGCGAAACATTGTAGATTTTGTAGACATGTCGTCGATAAATAAGTCTTTTTCAATAATACCCCAGATTTCAGTAAAAGCTGTCAGAGTTAAACTTAAAAAAAAAAGAAAGTCAAAATAGACAAAACCTTCATTACATTTTCTAGGATCAGGATCAGGAGTCCAAGGCTAGTTCTTTTTATCATATATTTAGATGTCATTTATTTGAGACATGACAATAAATATTAATGTGAAAAAAAAGAAGTTGACGATATGAAAAATTAATAAATTTGAACGATTACATTATTAATTATCAAAATCTAAGAAGGGAGCACACACACACACACACACACTGAAGATAATTTACTTGTCTCCATGCTCCAGCTGCATGTCAAAGTTGTCATCTGTGTAGTTACAGTAAAACACATCATCGTTTGGATTCAGAGAACTAGGCTGACTCTCACAGAGCTTGGTTTTATTTCCACTCACAAAGAGTTTCTTTTCTAGTAATAAATCCAAATATATTCCATTTTCTACTATTTTCTTAATTCAATTCATAATAATTTATATCTCCCTTCTTCCTTATCATTTAAATAGATATTAAATATAATATAGAAGTTAACATATCTTCACCTGTTCTGCCCATTTTATGAAGAATAATATTAATTCCTCCAGACATGATTCCCACCTTAAACTGTTTTATATATCTTGAAAGGTTTAGGCTGTCCGGTGTTGTTGAGACGGCGGCAAATGTGACGTTGATATAGTTGTAATCATTATGGTTTACCCACATTGTGTCTACCTTCGTAGAGTTTGGTTCAGAAGAATCTATTACAGATCTGTATAATTCCCTCCTCTGTCCAGATCTTTCATAATATGCGAGAGTGGACGTATATTGTATGATAATTGGGCTCAACTCTGCAACTGTACATAAATATAGAGAAATGAAATGATCAGTTTGTACACAAAGGAGTGGAATCTTTATGCGTGTTTATCTTGTTATGCGATCTTTCATTAATTAAAGCGGAATAAAAAAAATACATTTTATTTTCAGGTAAGAATGTTATGTCTTCTCTGTCAACCTCATTTCAATAATTTACATAATCTTTTTTTAGGTTGTTATGGCGTGCATTAAGAATTTCAAGGTAATCTGTTTAACAGTGGTTGATATTGACTTAGATACTACTAAAGAACTTTTGATTGACCTCAGTTTTGTCATTAATGGCCAACAACAAAACAATGTGATGAACGTAATGACTTTTGATGGGTTTATTCTTACGCAATGCCTTTGTGACGTGTTTATTCTTACGTGATGACTTTGTGATGAATTTACTCTTATGTAATGACTTTGTGGTGAGTTTACTCTTATGTAATGACTTTATGATGGGTTTACTCTTATGTAATGACTTTGTGATGAGTTTACTTTTATGTAATGACTTTGTGATGAGTTTACTCTTATGTAATGACTTTATGATGGGTTTACTCTTATGTAATGACTTTATGATGGGTTTACTCTTATGTAACGACTTTATGATGGGTTTACTCTTCCGTAATGACTTTGTGATGGGTTTAATTTAATCTTCTGTTCAATGGGTTTATTCTTTCGTACGTGATGAATTTGTAATGGGTTTACTCTTACCCGTTTGGCAGGCATTTCCGGTATACCCGTGTCTACAGTAGCATGTGTCTGGTCTTACACAGGTACCTCGCCCATGACAATCTCCGGTACAAATAGCTGGAAATACAGATGTTAAATTCTGTCTTTACTGTGATGAATTTCTTGATTCTATATTTTAGAAATTCTAATTCTTTTAGCTTTGATTTCTTTTATCTGTCTTTTCATAAAATTAACTCACTCTTTTTATTTGCTAATAATAGAATCAATATCAAAAAGTATCCCTCTAAAAGAAAGTGACTAGGAAGTGTAATTATCATATGTCGAACTTCTGGCCTACAGAATGGCACAGGATGTACAGAACATTCAATTACGTAATAAACAAATAAATTAAAGTTCGAGTTAGACTTACTTGGACCATCAATGAAGGATTTTTTTTTATTCCAAAAGGATAGGATGTACATCCGTTTTGGAAGTGACTGAAACTCATGCACGCATAAAGGAAACGTAAGATGTTATAATACATGTGTGAGCAAACATTGACATGTAAGATGTTATAATACATGTGTGAGCAGACATTGACATGTAAGATGTTATAATACATGTGTGAGCAAACATTGACATGTAAGATGTTATAATACATGTGTGAGCAAACATTGACACGTAAGATGTTATAATACATGTGTGAGCAGACATTGACATGTAAGATGTTATAATACATGTGTGAGCAAACATTGACATTTAAGATGTTATAATACATGTGTGAGCAGACATTGACATGTAAGATGTTATAATACATGTGTGAGCAAACATTGACATTTGCCGGATTCCTCGCATGGAATCAACTGTGATCGGCCAGAGCCCATTTCAAAAAAATTCATTGCTTGCCAATAGACAAAAAAGAGGAGAAAACTCGAAACTTTAGAGTGACTGTACATAAACATCAGAGATAGGATCGGGTACCTAAAAAGAGTAAGAATCTTCGACTGAAATTATGTAATTTGGTACTTCCTGTAACATGTTTTAAGATTTTGTTCCATGAGTTTTCCTACAAAACGATAAAAATATGTATGTTTTTTCCAGTTCTGCACAAAAAGTCATTTTCTTTCTTCATTTTTAATCTTTTTAGTTAAATAAGTCAATTTGATGTTTTTATATTATGTTGATAGTGAATTACCACTTAATCTTAAGAGTAATTGAAGTATTCAGCAGGGTGGTTTGTTGTCTACGTGAAGTCTTTTTGAATTATAATTGTAAATTGATGTACTTCACCAGAGTCCAGGCTTTTTGACATCATAGACAGCTGCTTTTTCAATAAAAATGGAACTCGTAAATATACTTACCTTGTCATTGGTCATTTACAAAATTATTTTGTTAAAAAGCACTCTGATTGTACACACAAGTACTCTGAAGTTGATATTAAAAAGATGCTTGAGTTTCTGATTGACAATATCTATGTAGTTTTTGTAGATCAGATCTTCAAACAATCTGTTGAAATTCCCATGGGTACCAATTGCGCCCCCTTATTAGCAGACCTATTTTTGTATTCATACGAAGCAGAATTTATTCAAAAACTTCTACATGAGAAGAAGAAAACACTTGCTGTGGCCTTCAACTCGACATTTTGATATATCGACGACGTATTATCAATTAACAATAGTTACTTTCATTCATATGTCGACTTCATATATCCCAGTGAGCTTGAAATAAAGGATACCACAGATTCTGACAAATCTGTTTCATATTTAGATATTTTACTAGAAAAGGACGTTAATGGTATCCTAACAACTAAGCTTTATGATAAACATGATGACTTCAACTTTTCAATTGTCAACTTTCCTTACTTATGTAGCAATATACCCTTTTCACCTGCATATGGGGTTTATGTCTCTCAGTTGATTCGATACGCAAGAGCATGCTCTACGTATGAACAATTTCTAAAACGAGGCAAGCTATTGACAAACAAGTTGACGAAACAAGGATTTCAACAGTCTCGTTTGAAGTCATCTTTTTGCAAGTTTTTGGTCGATACAATTACCTTGTCAGCACATACAACCTGTCATTGAGTCAAATGCTGACTGATGTTTTTCATACTGATTGTTAGGGCATTATTTATACACTGAAAGGATTTTTCCGGTTTATGTTTCCAAATCATGACAAGGAGCACACGGCGGGTGTGACCTGTCGGCAGGGGATGCTCACTCCTCCATGGCACCTGATCCCACCTCTAAATTTTTAGGTCCGTGTTTGCTCTGCTCCAAATTTGTATCTTTTCAATGGACTTTCGAGATTGAATACTGTTCCTTATCTTCATATTTCATTCCACTATATTATGGCTGACGTTACGGAAATAATATGACATCAGGAGACTATATCTCGCAGGTACAATCCATTTCAGTAATGAATGTAAACAATTTAAGAAAAATGCCGACGTCCTTGTTTGCATGACAAGACGGAATGAAAGTAAATTCTCTTAAATTTTCGCACTTTATGTATATGTATTCATTAGTCTGATTCCATGACAGTTCACTGCGGGACATTCTTTTAAAATTGAAAGAAGGCAAAACTTGTCTTTTCAGTCGAAAGCATTAGCGTTTAACTATTGTTGTCCTACGGAATTTCAAGTAGAAATCAATACAAGTATTAGGCCTAAATTAAAATAATGTTTGTTTGCCCTCAGCCGACCGACCCACAAAAATTAGCCCGACTCAAAATATTTTATTGCTCTTTTCATTTACAATTTTTTTATTTAAATAATTTCAAACCACTTTGTTTTAATCTTGTTAAAAACTTCTTAAAAGTCATTTAGATGCTTTGATTAGTACATGTAGTGTTAAAAATAGAATGTAATTGGCGAAATCTGTGTTAATTCTAGAAAAGCTATTTTGTTTATTCAGTACCAGTACATGCAGCAATATCGCCTTAGATTTTAATGCACGCAAAGGTGTGAATTCAGGGTGTGAATGGTGTACAGGCAATCACTTCTCGCTTGAACCCACACAGCTGAAGAAGTAGTAATAGGGGATAGAAAATAATGACTGAAAATGTAAAAGATATCAGACATAAATCATTATTAAATAAATTTAAAATTATTATCAAAATTGGAGGTGCTTTTTAAAACCGAAAGTAGAAAAAAACATCGTTGATGAGGAAAAGTGGCAAACAAGGCTGCTGATTTTACCTTCAGATACATTAAGTCAACTTACATAAATGTAATAAAACTTAAAAGTTGAACGAGAAATGGGCTTGGAAACACAAAGTATCAAATCAAAAGCCAAATACATTAAATGATGTTCAAACTTTAAAGCTGATACCCGCAGGTTCAATGTTTCTACACCAGAAAGAAGTTCTCAATAGGATTTACGTCATTTTTTTAATATAAATTTTTAAAATTGTCGATATGATGAGTTTTCACTTGATACATCATTTTCCATAAAAAAAATGCCCTTTACATTTGTTCTAATTTCTACCCCCCCCCCCCTTGATTTTTTTTTTTACACAAATTAATACAAGCAGTCAAAAAGTAAATAAACCACCACAAGGCCTTATAAATTTTAAGCATGCAACAGAAGACAAGACTATTCCCTTTTCTTATTGCCCTTCTGCCCATGTACAATCATGCATTTAGGGGAAAAATCATTGTCGAACATTTTTCCTTTATAAAGGCAAGGCCACATTAGTCATACTAATATTCAGAATCCCCATGTAGGTTAGATTAAATTCGGTTATGTCATGAGTCCTTAAGCCTTGGGTGGACCCACAATTTTTTATGGGAATGTAGAAAAATCTTTCAAAAACAACCTTTTGAAGAGCAGCAATATTAAAAGTGACTCAAATGAGCATTTTGGCGGTTATGCTTCTTTGTATAATTTTCAGGAAAAAAAATAAAATATTTTTCCTACCTACCTACCCATTGTTAAAAATCTGGGTCGGAAAAGGGCAAACAAACAATTTTTTTTTTAATTTTGGCCTTATATACTATGGTTAATGAATAAAACAAAATACCTCAAAGGACTATTCATACCCTCAGT